GGAAACCCTGTACAGGGGTCGCTGTGAGTCAGAACCGACTCCATGGCACATAACCACCAATGACCACCCATTCATTTGATGGGAGTTAAGAAGACTTTGGATAGAAAAGCCATATCAAATAAATTCACGGTCCCACAATAACACTTGAAAGCGAAGACTCAGATGCCTGCATCTCAGTGTTCACTGCAACACTCTTCACACTAGGCAAAAGGTGGAAACAACCCAAGAGTCCAGCAGATGAAAGGAAGGATAAACAAAATGGATCTATACATACAATGGAATATTTTGTTAAGTGCCGTCGAGTCGGTTTCGACCCATAGCAACCCTGAATAGGGTTTCCGAGGCTGTAAATCTTTACGGGAGCAGATCGCCTCATCTTTCTCCCGCGGAGCAGCTGGTAGTTTCGAACAATGGAATATTACTCAATCATAAAAACAAAACAAAAAGTATGCTGATGTATGCTTCAACCTAGAGGATTCTTGAAAACATGCAAAGTTAAATTAGCCAGACACAAAAGGACAAACATTTTATGATTCCACTTATATGACTAAGCAAATTCCTAAGTGGTTACAGGAAGTGATAAATGGGGAAATATTGCTTGGTGGGTACTGAGTGTCTCTTTGGGGTCATGAGAGAATTTTGGAAATAGATGATGGTGATGGTTGCCCAACATTTGTGACTGTAATTAATGTCGTGCACTTAAAATGGTTAAAATGACATGTTTTATATTAGCATTTTATCATAACAAAGTATCTTTTAATTGAACTGACTGTTCAGTATAATACCATCCTCAAGGGTGTATTAAATATAAATGATAAGATGTAAATATGTTCTTATGGTATATTTGGAAGCCCTAACTCTTTGAGGGGCAGTGTTCTCAAAACTGGATACAGTCACAGATCTTAGGATCTTAGAATTTAGCATAACTTACAATTATTTCTAGAGAAGCATGGGAACTAGCAGGATATACTTGTCTCTTCTAGTGACTCTGAAGGAGTCACTACTGTTCAGATATAAATTATTTAAATTATTTCCCTATTTGATATGCAAATGTGAAGCATTGCCATTTAACAGCATTTATTTTATAATTAAGTGTGTATTAAACTGCTTCGCCGCCATAAGTTTTCATTAAAAGCAGTTTCCGAGAGCAGATGCTTACATGTTACAGACTGTGTTGCTTATTCATAATCTCGCTTTAGATTTAGGGCAGTGTTTTGACACTGTCTCTACTCTGTATGCAGGCTTGTCATTTAAGTCAGTATTTCTAAAAAGGCAGTGGAATTTTCCTCTTCAGAAAGTTGCCCTTGCATGAAGGGCACATACCTGGGTGCCGAAACAAAAAAGGTGAGGTCTCCACGGCCCCGAGCCCAGCAGAGCTGTCACCGCTCCGACAGCGTGGCGGCTCTGAGAACGAGGGGCAGCAGCTATTCTCCGCTCGTGTGAGGCTGCCAAGGGATACCACACTTTGATCCTTCTCCCCAGTACAAAGACAGCAGCACATTCAACTCATTCTCTCTTCATATAAACACTGAGTGTGTTGAAGAAGGGAAAAAAAATCTAAAGGCCTAATAGGCTTTTCAATATAAGTACATAAAGATTAGCATCAGTCATCCGTAATTGATCATGTAAAAAATTTAATCCACCTTAAAATGAACACTTGAGGCTACTGATAACTAACACATCAACATATCTCCTGCCTAGCTCAGAAGGACTTTGAGCCCTTAGTTTATGCTTTCATTGACTGAGAGCTGTGTTCTAACATTTATACAAAGCTGGTGTCTGTGATGTGGTCAGATATACACCTCTGCTCTTCAACTTTTTCACCATTTTTGACACCAGCTAGTCGTTCCATGGCACAACTTCCCTACTGGATGTCACTTTCTTAGAGAAGCCACACAGAGTTCACAGATCATGCTCCCAGCTCTGTGGTCTATAGGGAAGTACAGGCAGACCCAGCTTATGAACATCTGACTTACAGATAACTCCTAGATGCCCTTTAATGCAGTACTTTTAATCTTCTGTCAGGGCTGATGAGGTCAAATAGGAACAGACCAGAATTCTTACTATTTAGGTGATTCATTACAGTAACTGGAATCCGAAAATCTAGGTCAAAGTCCTGAAATGGGAGACTCACAAGAGGTGTTGCGTGCCCTTCCAGGAGCCTGGTTCATGGAACTGGGTCACTGGCAGGATGGTAGAGAGCCATACACATGCGGAGCAGCGTGGTCAACCCCATCTTTGAGCAGGACACCACCATCTCTGAACCCTGCTTTAATAGTGTAAATTTGCTCTCGCTTTGAAACGATTGAATCAACGTGTGCTGGTAACAGAGTCTTCCTCCCAGTCACCTTCACTTGCTGCATGTGCAGCTGTTGAATCATGGGAAAGGCTTCAGGCATCTCCTTGCACTGAAGTAAAGCTAAATACGGAGCATACGGCCTGTTCCAAGTGACCTATAAATTCATAAAGACACAGAAATGGATCACGGTCATAACCCAGGGACTGACTGTAACAGGTGACAACCTAGGAAGCAACAGTATAGAGCTCAGACAGACCAGCTTCTAACCAGCTCAGCCTTGCCAGCCAAAACTCCGTCATGACTGTGCCCGTAGGCAGGCTGCCCATCTCTCCTCAGCCTCCCTGCCATCAACCTTTCTGTTACAAACTGTCCCCAGGCATGGTCAGTGTCACAGGCCACTTGGCTGCTGTGCTCCTAGCAGCAGAGTTTTGCTATCATCTCCAGTCCTGCCACCACACCCTCTAGGACTCTGCCCTGCTCGAGCGAGTCTTACAGCAGTTTCAGCTCCACCGACAAGTGCCCAGGGGCACCCTGCTCCACCAGCAAGCCCACTCACTGCCACTGTCTGCCAGTCTCCTGCTTCCTACTCCTTGTACTGTCACCTCCGTCCTTGGCCCTGCTTCTCACTGTGTCACACTGTTCACTGTTACAGTCCCCTTCTCTGGGTCTAGGAGCTTCTCAGTACAGGATTCAGGGTCCTAAGAACCTCTCGGTTCCAGGGTCCTCTTGCTGATAGCGAGGTCCCCCTCTTCTCAGTAGGGATGGCCACTTATGAAAGCAAACTCCTTGTAGTTATTTTCAAAAAACTTACCATGTGTGTGTGCTTACTTAGGTGAAGGGTCATTGTTCATACTGCTAAATGATTCATTCCAAAACGTCTAATCTAAGTTTATGTCTCTTTCAGGCCTCATTTCGTATACTGAGTATCTTTTCTTGCTTACAATCCTTACCAGTAAGTATATCACAGTTTTTCTTAATGATCATTTGGAATTCTGTTCTTAATAAACAGCGTTTTGGGAAGTGCCGGGGTCTGAACTCGACATAGTTGTGTTGTTCATGAGTGTTTGGTTCACGAGGAGGGGAGATCCAGCGGCGATAGGGATAGCGAAATAATACACAGACAAACAGAAGAAGGGAGACAATGAGGCACCCCAAAGCCAGGGTGGATACATCACTGGTGGGCAAGCTTGGGACTACAGGCATCATGGCCTCTGCAGGCAGCAACTCACTGCCCTGCAATCTTTACTCCATGCCTTCCAACCAGTAATGCACACCTGGGGAGGCCCGGGCCTCTGCTTTATTTAGGGGAGGAGCTTCACACCTAGCTGGGAGGGACTTAGGCAAGGTACAGCTAACATCAGTACTTTTCCAGACATTCAGATAACTTTACATCATACTTCGCTGGTTCGAATCCCAGGCCAGCAACTTGGATTCTCAGGCCCAATTAACATATCTATAGCCCCTGAGGTCAGTTGGGGGAAGGTGAGAGTTCTGCAGGAGATGCCCAGGTGAATGGGCTGCACCTGGAAAAGGGATTAGGGAGGATGGGTTCTTTGTCTATAGAACAAAGAACTGAGAAGTAGCTAAGATATTTTTAGTTAATCCTTTGGAGAAAGGTTTAACCTTGCAACCTTTAGTCTCGGCTTTAGGAAAATATCACATTTATTTGTGGATTTTCAAAGGCTCCGTGTATTAATTTAATATATATAACTGAATATTAAAATGAAAGCAATTTGCCATTAACTGCCAGTGGCCTCATTTGTTACACTCGGCCCTAGAGGGCCTCGAACCTCTGACCAGTCTTACACGGTCCGCAACAGGGAAGTTTGACATTTATGTCTTTATCATTTTTTTAAAAAACGGATACGTGTGAAAATGTTACCAAGCGTCCTTCCCACGGCATTCTCTGCTTCTCAGCTGGGAGTGACAAGCCACTGCGATGGCCACACACAGACACCAGCCTCACAGTCCCAGGGTCTATTGGGGAATGAGCAGGTTACAGTGTATGATCCAAAATGCTCAGAACACAGTTCTGTGTTCTGGCCAGCCGCCTCTTAGCCATGCCCACAGGCAGGTTTTTTTTTTTAATGGTGGTAAGCTCCCCTTCCTGCTTCTGAGATGGCTCATTGTAAACTCACGTTAGAGTTACACGTTTGTGCGATCACAACAGAATCATAAAATCCTGCCAATATCTTCCTCCACCATCTCTGACCCAGGCCCAAGTTGTTTGATGGGAGTTACAAAGACTGTGGGTAGAAGAGCCATGTGAAGTAGTCACTGTACTACAATCTCTTAGTTTCTACATCTGTAAAACAATAGTGTTTGATTCAGTTATCATTTTAGATCTTTCCTACCTTCCTTATACTGTGGCTCCTGATAACTTTGCCTGCCGAGTAGGAGAATCATAGAGTTAGCCTTTACTTTGAAATCTTAAAAAACCCTCATCTGACATCCTGCAAAATTCCTAACCAGCACTCTTTAAAAATGCCAAGCTCATGAGCAGAGAATGACAGGCACTATCCCAGATTGAAGGAGACCAAGGACACATGACACCTCAGTGCAGTGTGGTGCCGTGTATGTGGTCCAAGAACAGGAAGAGAACATTAGTGGGAAAGCTGGGGCAGGCGGGAGCGGTCAGTCATTTAGGTCATTGTCTTGTCCCAACGCAATGTCAGTGTCTTCACGTTCACCAATGTGCTGTCACGATGGAAGATGCTCCCATTAGGGGAACCCGCTGCAAAGATACAGAAACTGTTTGTTACCGTCTTTACATCATTTCTGTAAGGCGAAAATTATGCCAAATTGTAAAGTTAAAAAACATTGGTAGAACCATGAAATTAATTTCTCAAAGTAATTATGGTTATGGAATACCAGAACAGCGGCACTCCATGATTCTGGTTATGGAATACCAGGACAGCGGCACTCCATGAAAAAAAAATGTTGGAGAAGGCAGGCCTCAGCACCCAAATGTCAGCTTTTGAAAACTGTTACCCTAAGAAGTGGTCAGTTTTCCTGTTGAGACACTTCCTTGAATTCTTGCTAGTGGCTTGTTACAAATTTGAAGATCTGTCGACTTTTAAGTAATTGTGCCTGTACCTTATACTTCACCAAGAATGAAATGGTTGTGCCTTTTTCACCTCATTGCAGAGCCCCACACTGGGTTTCATGTTGCTTTTAAAATGCTGGATTCAGATGGCGATGAGATGGTTGAGAAAAAGGAATTTTTTAAGGTAAGTAGAGTTTAGTTATTTAGGTTTTATCTTAGTCATGGTCATAAAAACATGGATGCTTCTGTAACTATTTTACATTTCCATTTTAAAAGTCCAATTACATTCATTTTTCACATATGAAATGTCATTAGACCATTTGTACATTCAAAAATATTGACTGCTCTGTAATAATACTACGTTGAGGAAATGGATAATAAGCAAACAGAGTGTATGATTCCAAAGGAGAAACTAGTTTAAGTATGTACATTTTATACAGCTTTGTTCTTTTTTTTTTTTTTCAGTAAGTAATGTTTCAGTAAGTAGGAAGAGCTTCAAAGATTATATATAAATAAAAAAGTATTCTTCATACACATACACACAGAAATGGAATAGAAACTTAGGCCTTCCTTTTTTTCCCCACCCAAAAGAAAGAAAAGGTTACAATAAGTGTAAATTGGGAACATTTCCCAGAAATTTATAGGTTAATATTTAAAAAGTTGAAAATATGCTGAAATCATATTTCTAAAGAAAAAACTCTAGAATGTAAATAAGTAAGCTTTACTAAGAAAGAGGGTGATAATATCAAAAGCATACCTCAGTGTGCATAAATGGTTGGGAACGAGGCAATGCGGCCATTGGGGAGCCCTGGTACCATAGTGGTTAAATATTTGCATGCTAACCAGAAGGTCAGTGGTTTGAAACTGCCATCCACTCCATGGGAGAAAGACAAGGAAAGTTGCTTCCATAAAGGTCCCAGCCTTGGAAGCCAGATGAGGTTGTTTTGCTCTGACCTCTAGGGTCACTGTGAGTCACAATTGACTCAGCATTAGTAAGTTTGGTTTGGTTTGGGGCTTTTGATCTATTGGAGTCCCTATGGAGAGAAAACATAAAGAAATGTATAGCACAGCACTTAGTGTGTGCCATCAGACACAAACCAAACCCACTGCTTTCCAGTGGACCGAAATTCATAGCAGTCTGTTCTGTAGAAGCCAGCAGTGAATTTGTACAGAAGCAAACTGCCTCATTGTTCTCCCATGGAGCAGCTGGTGGGTTCCAACCACCAGCCTTTCAGTTAGCAGCCCACTACTGAGCACACCAGGCTCCCTTAGTATGTGCTGCTGCTGGTGGTGATATGCCGCAGAGTCGGTTCCGACTCACAGCAACCTTGAATAGGCGTTCTGAGGCTGGAAATCTTTATGGAGCAGAAAGGCCCACAGAACGACTGGTAGTTTCAAACTGCTGACCTAGGGGCTCACAGCTGGACTCGTAACCACTACACTACCTGAACTCCTGTACTATGGACTAGCTACTCACTAATTCACCTGTGGGTTTTCGGAGTGCATACATAGCTGATTTATATATTACCCTTTTTAAAAGCTTTTGACATGTGAAGTAAGTAGAACTCTCACACATTGCTAGTGGGGATGTAAAATGGTACAAACACTTTGGAAAACAAAATTGATGGCTTCTTTTAAAAGTTAAAAATGAGGTATATGCTTAGCCTATTAACCTAGCAATTCCATTCCTAGGTATTTAGCTCAGAAAAAAATAAAATTTCACCAGTATGAGAATATTGAAATCACCCCATACTGGAAATAAGTGTTCATCAGCAAGTGACTGGATACACAACTTGTGCTATATTCATATATAATACTAAAAATACTGCTGAGGATTCAAAAAGAACAGACTACTGATAAAGTTAACATGACTGACTCAGATTCATCAGTATTCTTCAACATTGCATAGTATTTTATTGTGTACATGTACCAGAGTTTGTTTATCCAGTTTTCCACTGATGGACATTTAGGCTGTCGCCATCTTTTTGTTATTGTGAATAGTGCGGTGATAAATGTAAGTATATACATATATGTATTGTGTCATGACTTTTACATACCAAGTGGAGGGATGACTGGGTCGTACAGCATTTCTATTTCCAACTTTCTGAGGAAGCACTGTACTGGTTTTCACAATGGTTGAACCACTTTACAGTCCCATCAGCAATGTAGGAGGGTCGCAGGCTCTCCACACCCTTGTCAGCATTTGTTATTTTATTTTCTGGTTTTTGTTTCTCTTTTAACTTTGCTGTTAATGCTGGTATGAGACAGTATCTCGTTGTTGCCTTGATTTGTATCCAAAGTCTATCTTGAAGTACAGCACTGTGTGAAATAGTATAATATCCATATACCCACCAGGTAATGCCACTATTAATTAAAATGTATGAACTAACCACTAATGCCAGTGATGATAAAAATTGAAGAATTCTTCAGTATGAAATTAACTAAACATGCAGTCAAGATGCGTTGATAATTACTGGTGATTGCAGTGTGAAGGTTGGAAATAGAGAGTAAGTATCAGTATTTGGAAGATATGGCTGTGGTGATAGAAACGATGCTGGAGATCACATAATAGAATTTTGCAAGACCAATAACATTCATTGCAAATACCTTTTTTAAATAACATATAAGTGATTAACACACATGAACCTCACCAAATAAAAATCAAATTGACATCTGTGGGAAGAGCCGATGGAAAAGCTCAATGTCATCAACCAAACCAAGGCCCGGGGCCAAGTGTGGAACAGACCATCAATTGTTCATGTGTAAGTTGGGGCTGAAGCTGAAGAAAATTAAAACAAGACCACGAGAGCCAAATTAATTACCTTGAATTTAGAGACCATCTCAAGAACAGATTTGCTGAGTTATGGGATGGCATCAAGAACATCATACAAGAAGAAAGTAAAAGGTCATCAAAAGACAGGGACGAAGGAATAAAACAAAATTAATGTCAGAAGAGACTCTGATACTTGCTCTCCAACGTAGAAATGCTAAAGTGAATGTAAGAAATGAGGAAGTAAAAGAGCTGAACAGAAAATTTCAGAGGTCTACTCAAGAAGACAAAGTCAATAATAAAATGTGCAAAGACCTGAAGTTAGAAAACCAAAAGGGAAGAACATTCTCAGCACTTCTCAAGCTGAAAAAACTGAAGAAAAAACTCAAGCTTCAACTTGTAATATTGATGGATTCTGTGCACAAAATATTGAATGATACAGAAAGCATCATAAGAAAATGGGAGGCATACACAGAACCACTGTACCAAATAGAAATTGGTCACTGTTGAACCATCTTAAGAGGTAGCATAGGATCAATAACTGATGGTAGTGAAGGCAGAAGTCCAAGCTGCACCAAAGCCATTGGCGAAAAACAAGGCTCCAGGAATTGACAGAATGCAAATTGAAATTTTTCAACAAACTGATGGAGTAGTGGAAGCATTCACTCATCTATTCCAAGAAATTTGGAAGACAGCTACCTGGCCGCCTGATTGGAAAAGATCTATATTTGTGCCCATTCCAAAGAGAAGTGACCCAATGGAATGTGGAGATAATTGAACAATATCTCTAATATCACATGCAAGTAAAATTTTGCTACAAATAATACAAAAACAGGTGCAACCGTACATTGACAGGGAACTGCCGTAAATTCAAGCCAGATTCAGAAGAAGACACGGACGAGGGATCTCATTGCTGGTGTCAGATGGGTCTTTTCTGAAAGAAGAGCATACTAGAAAGGTGTTTACCTATGTTTTATTGACTATGCAAAGGCTTTTGACTGTGGATCATGACAAACTATGGATAATATTGCAAAGAATAGGATTTTTAAGAACACTTAATTGTGCTCATGAGGAACCTATATATAGGCAGTTGTTTAAATAGAACAAGGGGATACTGAATGGTTTAGAATCAGGACATAGGAGCACCATGGCTGCATTCACTTACTGTACTTATTCAGTCTATATGCTGAGTGAATATTAACATGGCATCAGGATTGAAGGAAGACTCATTAGCAGTCTGTGATATGCTGATGATACAACTTTGCTTGCTGGAAGCAAAAAGGACTTAAAATACTATCTGGCAAGAGAGCAGAGGAGCCAGACTGCAGTGTTAGTGTGAAGGCATTCCTTGGAATTCATGTCTCACTTACCGATGAAGAAAATCAAGTAACAGAGCCTGAAATTGAGGCAGTGAAACCTAAAGCTACAGGGGGCACTGGGTGTGTGCCCATCAGAAGCCCAAAATGGAAATCTGCCTGAAGAAACCATGGGAGGTGAAAAAGATTTTAAAAATCCTTAAAGCAGTCTGTGAATGTGGGATTGTCAGGAGCCCACAATGGAGATGTTATCAAAAGAAGTATTGAGAAACGTAAACATTTAAAAATACCCCAAGAAATCTGCCATTTTGGCCAGTGTGGAAGCAATAACACAGCCTTCCAATTCAGAACCTAAAAAGAAAAAGAGGAACAAGAGAGATGCTGCTGGGCCTGAAACAAAAAACAAAAACTGAAGACAAAGAAGACTCTGAAGGGGGCTGTTGAGGCTCCAGCAGAAGCAGAAATGAGTGTGGAGGAGCCAGGTGATGAGAAAGGGGACAACCTGCCCCTGGGACTGACAGGAGCATATGCAGATTCTTCATTGAATTCTCTAATTTGTCAGTGAAAACACTCTGGAGGTGATAAATGGGCTTTCAGAATATGACAGAAATTCAGCATAAGAGTATCCACCACTTCTGGAAGGCAGGGATCTCCTAGCAGCATCAGAAACAGGTGTTTCTCATTCCTGCAGTTGAACTTACTGTGAAGCTAAAATTTATGCCCAGGAATGGAACGAGGAGTCCTTAGTCTCTCATGTACTAGGAAACTGGCCATGCAGACTCTTGGTGTGCTTAAGGAGCTAATGACGCACCACGTTCACACGTATGGGTTGGTCATGAGAGCAGTAACAGATCTGCTGAAGCACAGAAACTTGCTAATAGGATCAACGTCATTGTGCCATACCAGGCTGCCTCCTGGACCATATGCAGAATACCCCAGACTTCATATATAAAAGTTTATAGCATCTGCTTAGTGCTGAGGCTGATTGACTCTTAGATGTTGGATTTGAAGAGGAATTAAAGAAAACTATTAGATGTCTGCAAGTACACAGAGAGACCATGCTTTTTTCTACCTTGCAAACTCAAAATGTTGAAGACC